AGTATGTATGTGACAGGGAATTTATTTTAAGATTTTATTTTAAATTCATTTGAAGTACTGGATATTTTGAAAGGTCCTGGTAAGTAGATAACTTAATGTAGACGTGGGATTTTCTGTGAAATCGCTTTCTTAAAATACCATTATAGACACATTTGGTTGATAAACAAAATATACAAAATCCTAATCTAAGAATGATATAAAATAAGGACCTCAAAATACGGGAAGGAGCTGGTGCAGCCAAACGGGTAGAGATAAAAATCTGAAAAAAGGATATTCGGAAATAATTATATATAAAGGTTATCTTATCTGGGTTTTTTATAAATTCGTAAGCAATTAAGGATTGCTGGAGATGGGACCTGAGCTTTCAGAACATTTGGCTTCTCATTTAGCTGAACTGAATAGCTGCAATTCAGGAGCCAATCAATTAGGGTGTTTCCAGGCCAATTGGCTGCCTTATTTGAAATCTGTCCGGTTTGATGAATCGGGTAAATTGGCATCCGGTTCAGCGGCGGTTGCATTTCGTCAGACCGCCATAATGTGTCATTCAATTAACACATCGGCTGTCGCTTTTAAGTGCAAGTCGATTATGCTGTCAACAGCTTTGCGGTGGCCAAAAACCAAACAGCGACAGCAAACCCAGCGAAATGGTTTCCTCTATATGCGCAATGCATATATGTGTCATACATCCCAGGGCCAATTTCTGGCTCGAATTGGTTGGGCAAATAAAACTGCCAACAGCTCTTTTCGCTCATTAATTTCATTTTTCATCGAGTCAACAATTAACCAATCGTCGATGCTCTCAATGGCTGGAGTTTAATTCATTCAATCGGTTGTAAGTTGCAAATATTCCGAAATCTCCAATCTCCAGTTTGACAGGTTGAATTTAAGGGATTTCCTCTACTTAATATCCCTCCTCGTCACGCCCCGCTTTTTCTCTCTGTGTGTGCGTGCATGCACTGCGCACATTTAATTATAGAATAATCTTTGATTTAATATGAAAATTGCATAAGGGGATGGGGATGGGGGTGGCTGCTCTTGATGGCCTGCTGGCCGCGTTGCAAATTAATTAATTGCCGCCATATGCTAATTAAACACTCTTTTTGCCCAGCAATTTCACTCTTCCCCGCACGCAGCCAGATGCAAAAAGCTATCACATAGATACAATAGTATATATAGCTATATACATACGAATAAATATTTATATATTTATCTATATACATATATGTACACTGCTATGGCCGGGCTTTTTTGTGTTTTCCATGCATAATGCAAAGCCATTCAAGCGGCGCGGATTAAAGTGGCAACTCATTAATTTGGAATTCCACAGTAATTATATGGCCAAGCAGTGACTATCCCACACTGGTCATGACTTGCGTTAATCCCGAAACAGGATCCTCTTCCCATCGACTTTTCTGTAATTAAAAAACAAGTTTTTTGGGGGACTTTATGTCTTGCTGTTGTAAAATCGAAGAGGATTTATCATTTTGTGTTTAAAAAAAATATCCCAGGTAGCTGGGAGAACGGCTTCTAAATCAAAATCAGTATTCACATTCATATTCAAGTGTAGACAGTGTCGTGTACGGGAAACCAAATTGTAGTTTTACACAAATTAAAACTATGGACGGAAAAAAACGTGGAAAGTCACTTTGTAAAACAACTAACAAGTTCCAGAAAGAAGCGCGCATTACAAACAATGGCTTCCTTAACTTATCGACCGAATTCAAAAAGCCATTCTACAGGATTTCCAAACCGGACATGATACGCTTCGGAGCAAGAGAATGGAACTATATGACCCTCCAAGAAAAGGATCTCTTTAAAAATATGGTAGGTCGGAAATATCTTAATTTTTGATAATATAAACCAATTGCTAAAAAACGTATGTTAGAAAGAACCTGTGACTGTTATAAAAAGTGCACCTCAGGAGTTGGAGAGTCAGTCCCATTGGGAAAACCCCGGTAAATCTGAGCGGGAGAAAAGCAGTCCAGTTCGCTCTCCTTATGCCCGTGAGAGGGAGTCTAAGAACCAGAAGGAAAGGAAGAAGTCCCAGTCCATCAAGCGCAGGGTCAAGAAGAAAGCCAGTCCTGTGCTGAAGAATCGCGACAAAAGTCCTTTGGGCTCAGCGGTGGCCTATATTCATTTTATGCGCAAGTTTCAAGAACAAAATTCTCATTTGCCGGCCCCTCATCTTTTAATCAAGGCAGCTCGCGTTTGGTGCCTTCTGACTGAAAGTCAGCGCAAACTATTTGATCTAAATTTAAAGGTTTATAAGAGAAGTAATGGCTTCAATTTTGTAAAGATTGTGTGAACTGGACCAAAAACACTTTGTAAATAAAAAGAACTGCGTTTTTGAGACTGTTTTTAATCACCTATTTTTAATATTCCAGTCGTTTCTATGACAACTTATGGCAGTGGTAATAATTGTATTCAATTGAATTTATTATTTCGAAACTCAACAACGAAGCTCTAGTTTTCTTACTAATTTTTATTCATTCCTAAACCTATGATAAATTCGTTTGCTTGTTTATAAAAGTATTTCAAAGTTAGGAAAAACACTTTTGATCTTTTTAAATCCATTTTTAACCCCGTTTTATGGTAAACAATTTCCGGAACTTCAAGCATTTAGTTATACATCTGCTTAGCATGTTTTAGAACCAGCATTCTAATATATAATATATTTGTTACTCGAAATAAAAATTACATTAACTAGCTTTCTTGGTGAACAGCAATTTAGCTGAGCTGAGGCATTACATTCTGGTCAAGTTCCTTTAATATTCCTCTGGTCTGGCCATCCGCTTCCTGCAAATAGGTCTCGGAGAGATAAACCTGATCCTCGGGTGGTATAACTTCCGGTTCGGGAGGCTGAGGATCCCCTTCGTGGGGCAGAAATAGATTCAGTTTAAGGAACAGAGCTTGCAACTCAATCAAGAAACTTTCGTTCGGGTCCTCATCCTCCCTGCATTCCAATTCAGCTGGCACCTCCTCCATGGTCTGTAGATCATTGGTAGTTGAACGCCTTGGCCATGTCTGAAACTCCCTCGCTCTCTGCGAGACATAGGAACAAATTGCTTGACTATCCATAACATGAGTATAGGGACCCTTGGGGTATGGCAAGTGATAGGAACACGTTTCGTCGTACATCCACTCCCTTGGAGCATCGTCTGCTACATCCCTCAAGGATTTGAGAAATTCGCGACGAATGGGTTGCATAAGTCGCAGCGACGCTATAGTGATCGCAAAGTTGATCCTATACCGCATTTCGAAATTATAATGAAAAGCGCCCAAAAGAGTACCTTCGGGATCCGAGGGACTGCTGGACACCGAAGATGTGTCCCACAGTTTTCGTAGAACGGGTAGTGGCATTAAGGTGAATCTAACGCACTCCATCAGTTGTGGCATGAGCTTAGGTATTTCCTGCGGACGATATGCTAGCCAACAGATAAGGGCCGAAAAGACCTCCACCTCGGAATTGACACCCAAAGAATCCTGGTACATCAAGGTCATCACATCCTCGAAGGGCATCTGCCGAAAATGAATTCCCCCCACCACGGCCAGAAAATGAACCCCGATCCTCTGAAGCATCACCTTGCGGAGCGCTTCGAGTTCGGGATACTTCAGGGCCTTTAAGTAAACCTCGAAGGCGATCTCCTCTCGGAAGTGGGCTCCGCACAGGAATCGATAACAGTCCGTCTGCAGTGCTCGCATCTCTAGTTGCATGGCCGTGTGCAGCATGGCAACCACTTGACCCGGTCCTATATCGTTTCCTAGGGACTCTTGCAATCTCATCCAATCGTAGGCAGCTCGAAAACCCACGGCAGTAAGGTCAGCGCCCTCGCGAAAGCGATACACCTAGGGATGGAAAAAAGCGTTCGATAAGTTAATCGTACATATGTAATATCAAGAATGATAGTAACAAGACTCACCCGGCGAATGTGGCGTTCGAAATATTTGCAATGGATTTTCAGAAGTGAAGGAATACACCAGAAAGTGGATGTTCCGATGCAAACTCGTGTTGTGGCACCCATGTTATCGGCGATTATGTGCCTGTAATCGGCGGAATTGTTGCTCTCAAAGGGATGCGAATGGGGAAGATTGACTCGGAAAAAGTGTACATCATTCCAAGGCATCACGCGATTGAGGGCACACTCCACTTGACGTCGACGTTCCTCTGAATCCATATTACCAATACTGAATGCCCGGCATTCAAATTCAATTCTGTTCACATTATCCACACATATGACTCCTTCCAGAATGAATACTTCATCGTGGTTTTGGTTCGCGTCGTCCCCCATCATTTAAATCGAATCTATATATAAAACAACGTAGAAAGAAATCAAATATGTATAAAATCATTATAGAAATTAATTTTTTCTTAAGATCGCGGCAATAAATATACGGAATTTGAAAACAGACGAATCGGGGACTTGCGGAATTGGCTTGTCAATTTAAATACGCGCGAGATTTCACTTACCGAATACCCAAATATTATCACGCAACGTCTACAATGCAAAACTTGGAAAAAAAATCTAGAAAATATAATAAAAGTCTTGCTGCTAGCAATCGACTTGTTCTCTCTATCTAGAAAATATTGTGAGTGCCCGTTCCAAAACAGTGACAAGCAAAGGCATGGAATGCTCGGTTTGGCTGGATTTGTTGGCCTTCTTCGATTCAATATTTTTTGCACATTATTTTTCAACTTTACTAATTTTGGAAAACTTGCAATTAATAAATAATGAAATAAGAACTCCTTTTTAATAAAAATAAAAAAAGTGAAGTCAAGACATTCGATAAAAAGTTGGGATTATATAAGTCGCGCGTTTAGAGGTATTTTTGTTTTGTATATATTTTGTTGTGTCGGGAATGCCTCCTTCACTACTTCTGACTGCAATTAAGATAATTAACTATTCCACTGTACTCTTTAATATTGTATTTAAAATTGGATATAAGTCCAAAAAAATATCCTAGGTAGCTGGGAGAACGGCTTCTAAATCAAAATCAGTATTCACATTCATATTCAGTGTAGACAGTGTCGTATTATAACAAAATTGTAGTTTTAAAGAAAAATTAACTATGGACGGAACCAATCGTCGAATGGCACTTCAAAGGCCGATTTACAATTTTCAAAAAGTAGCTCGCTTGACAAACAATGGCTACCTTAACTTCTTAATGGAGTACAAAAAGACGTTCTGCGGAGTTTCCGCAAATGACATGGTACGTTTCGGAGCAAGTCAGTGGAATCAGTTGACCCTCGAGGAAAAGGATTTCTTTAAAAATATGGTAAGCATAGGAAATATCTTAATCATAATTGATATCTAAAATTTTTAAACAAACGCGTGCAAAAGGGTGCAACAAGTGCACTTCAGGAGTTTGAGAATCAGTCCTATGGGGAAAATCCAGTTCGCTCTCCTTTTGCCAGTGATCAAGAAAAATCAATCAAGAAACCCAGTCCAGAGACTCTCCACCAAAATCGGTTGGGCTCCGCCGTAGCCTATATTCATTTCATTCGCAAGTTCCAGAGGAAGAACAAAGATTTGGAGGCAAATGATCTATTGAAAAAGGCAGCCCGTCTTTGGTGCCGTCTGCGTGGAAGCCAGCGCGAACAATTTGAGAAGCCACTTTGGTAAAATTATCTAAATGTGAAGCTTCACTCAATTAATAATATCTACAATTTTTTCAGGATTGTGAGAACTGGATAAAAAATCTTAAATTTAAGCCATCTTAATATGTCTAAATTTGAAGCGCGAAATATTTAAGTAATGATGTTTTGTAGGCCTAATTAAAAGAACTAGGCTCTGTAAACTATTTTACATTATAGTTATCTGTTATCTTTTTCTGACTGATTTTTTATGGTGAAAAAAGGGATTCAGATTTTGTTAAAAATACGATATTCAGATTTTCGCCAAAAAACCGATTTTTCTTTCCAGTTTTTTAATCGCAGTTTGGCCAAATCAAGGCGTACAGCTAAAAGACCGACTGTTTTGAACAGCTTGCTAAGTATGCTAACGATCCCAATCACTTTAAGGAAAATTTATTTTTTGACCAGTTTTCGCATTTCTTGTAAGGGGGTGCATCGTCTTTTTTTCAAAAAATTCAAAAAATTCCAGCTTTGGATGCCAATGGATTGGAAATTAAGCAACGAGTTCAACGAGGTATGGCATTCTTTGATCTGACGATTTGTTAAAGCAGCCAGAAAACTAAATTTTTTTCCCTTTCCGACCCATACTTGCCTTATGACAGCCAAAACACAGATTTTTTATGTCGGAATTTAAGTTTTCAATTTAGAATTGAAATTACCAATGGATTACCAATACAGTTTAATATTTATAATCGTTTACAAATTGAAGTTTTAGCTCGATGAAAATGGTTTATTTTGAAAGTTTCTTGTACGCATGTGCAACAGTTTGGCATCCTTTGGCATCCTCGAAATGTTGGGCCACATTTCGGAGTGGGCAACATGTTGGTGGCCGAGTGCGCATGTCCTGGCAACATGTGTCCGGCTTTTCTCGTTCCGGCGGAGTTTTCCTCGAGGCGCCGTCGCTTGTTTTGATTTGCGCAGCTTGTTTATGTTTTGCCCATCCTGACAGGTGGTTGTCGCATATGTGTGTGTGGTGTGTGTGTGTGGCGTGTGTGTGTGTGAGTGTTGTGCATGTGTGGGTGAGTGCCGCAATATTTATGCATGGCAATTGCTCAATGTCGTCCGTCGTCTGGCCCTCAGACCCCAAAACGAATCTAACCCCAGGTTCCTAGCGGTACACAGCAAAAGAAAGCATATTTCTTTAAATATTTTTCAAGCGACAGATAAGATTTTAAATAATACTTAAGAGATACGCACATACCATTGAAAACCACAGTATTTTGAAGTATTACCTATCTTGGAAATCCTCTGAGATATCATTACTTAACTTGGCATTAAAAATAAAAGCAATTTGGAATCAACGAAAGAAGTGTTCATTTCGACGTGTTCCATTATCAACTCCTCAAATATAATATATTTAAACAAATTATATTTTTTCACAAATTAGAATGGCTATACTATACATTACTATACCAACAAACTTTGCCTTAAAGGTAATGAACATGAAATATAAAAATCTTAAGACACATTCGATAATAAAACTTCTGAATATTGGCCTTAAATCAGCACTTAGCACCATAATTCGTACATAAGGTATATCCCCTTTTCGCCCAGTGTAGATCCCCATCCCCGAGGCCTGTCCTATCTGCCAGCTTAATCCCATCGCGGGTCCGCTCTCGCTGGCATTCTCGCATTCCCGTCCAGCGTCAATTTATCATTCCTGGCTGGCATTTATGTGTTCTAGCTGTTTTGGAGCCGTTACCCCTCTTATACTCGTATAATTGTTTCTCCGTTTCCGGAATGGACGGAGCATATTCAATTCGCGAAATATAACTGGGTACCTGGGGTACCGCTCTCCCTGGGGGAATCCGAAAATGTTGTACCCCTCACAATGTTTTAGCTGCTTTCTATTCTCTTTTTTATCTTCCAACTTTTTTGTTGTTCACAGACTTCACACATTCTCCACCTGTCGCTGTCACTTTCAATGGGGACTTTTGCATTGGCCGAATGCCAGTTGGCCAAGTTCGTTGTGCCCAATTCGGAGGCCCAAATCGGATCGGATAGGTGGAACTTTGGCGATGGGCGCAGAGCGACTCCCGACTGGCGACTGGCCGTCTGCCATATGGAAGGGAACGCCATGCGAGTCCTGCGGCGATGCAGCATAATTCGCCCCATGCAGCAGCATATAAGCCGCTTAAGGACAGTGGAGCCTTCACATCTTCGATTGCCCACCTCCAGAGCTCCAGAGCTATAGAGCTCCCGAACTTTCGAACTTAGCCGCCCCCTTTTTGCCGCCCATGCGATGCGACAGTGTTGCTACATAAATCACTTTTCCATTCGCTGTCCCCCGCGCTTTTGCATGGATGCCAAAGTACAGTTGTGCTCGCGGCGGGAAAGTTGCAAAATAGAGAAATACGAGGGGGGCTGAGGAACGGGTATTTAAGCCATTAGGTACTGATTAGCCAGTGTGCCACGTACAGTGGCCTCTAAGGCTATTAGCCAGTACAGGAGCTCGAGAGTCCCATAAAGGTCTTAAACGGAAAAAATTGCTTTTAGAAAGCAGCTTTGAAGGTACAAAAATTAAAGATTCCTAAGATTATTTGTACTAGATTTAAGGACATACTTTACTAGATAGTTAAGAAGGGGATTGCTTAATTTTATTATTAGAACTTGATGATATAGGTGTTCTTTCAAAGTAAATCCTGTAAATATCGTACTTATATCATGTATTGAATCCTATGTTTAGGAAGAGGGGATTGTTAAAATGTATCTTCCATCAGTTTTAGCAGGCATTATAAAGTTTAAGTCGGTAGAAGCTATAAAGAAACAACAGAACAAATTATTAAATGTAAACCCTTGAATGTTATCCAGTAATTCCATAAAGTTACCAACCAGGAGTAAAGAAAAGAAAAACCCTTTGAATGTTGGTCTTGATAAATTACAAATTGTAAATACCTGTACTTATAAAGGGTTTAGTTCAGCTTTTTTCGGCTACCAAGGATTAGGGCTTCGTGTTGGGGGCTTCTTTTCCGGATTGCTTTCACTGAAATGAGGCCCCCGAAGCCTTTATACCCCATCCTTCACTGAAGTCCTAGACCTAGACCTGGGCTCCAAAACAAAGCCAAATCGCACACAAAGCCAATTGCCCGGCTTCTGCCATCTAACTCACTCTGGCCACTCTTTTCCCCTGGCTAAAAGGGAACAAAACGAAGCCACGCACTTGTAGTTACAAAGCGGATACTCATTTAAGTTGATTCACCGCACCAACAACTGCACAAAGGACGCGAGGACGCGACGTCAGCCAATGACACTTTATGACAATTGCACTTGGCGGCTGCTCCTGATGAAGGGGGGCCAGCGAAATAATGGGGGACAAACCCTGCACCTCGAGAACACCCCGAGAACACCCCGAGAACAGCCCGAGAATACCCCCAGTATAGAGGTCGGCTTTCTCCTTTGGGGCAGCCGAACCACCGAACAAAGCAGCCAACGAGGACACAACAAGAACAAACAAGTGAAAATCATTCAGGGAAAACTGCCGTCTGCCAACTCCATCTCGAAAGGAAATCCGCGTACGCTGGGGAGCCCACAAAACGCTACGCAAAATAAAACAAATAGGAAACTTATAGTGGTGTGTATGGACTATGTGATACCTGGTGTTTAAAACAAGAACCAACGTAATACCTTTTACAAATCATATAACTCTGTATGTCTTAGTGATACCACTTGAAAGGAGAGGATGAAGAATTAGTATATCTTATAGTATTTTAGAAATAAATTAGTCAATTGATGTTGTATGTATTTAACAATTTCAAGTACCATCTATTACCTTAAATCTTTGTCAAATGATTAAAATATTAATGTTTCGCTTTCCTATTAATATAATATACCCCTTGAGCTATACGAATACCAGGTACGAAGGCAAAAACAAAAAGGAATCGTAAACAAAATGCCGGAAAAGGCAAAAAACATGGCGACAAAGACGACGGCGACTATGGCGACTATAACGATGACTATGACTCCAAACCACGTGCTCCATATGCTGCACATGAGGCGAATGCGAATGCGGACGCGGATGCGGATGTGGATGCGGATACTAGGGGGGGGGATCTGGGCATATGGCGGAGATCGGGGGAATGAGTGGTATACGTACGCTGGAGATGTGGAGATGAGAGCGGCCCGACGTCGCCGTGATAATGACTTTTTGTCTCTGCTCGAATGTCACTTGATGTTTGTGGGTCCTTCGCTTCCTGACTACACTGGCAAACATAAAACAGCCTTAATGGGTGTAAATTAATCTATAATTTCAGTTCATTGTATTGAAAAGAAATAACTGAAATATAAGCCACGAATTTTATCCTATTAAAATGAATAATAAAACATTTCACTCCCTTTACCAAAAGCCTTGGGTAAATTATTAATAATACTTAAAAAATATAAATAAAATATAAATATATTTATTAAGCAGAATTGCAAATAAGCACTTGGGAATTATAGGCAGAGCTTTAGTAAAAAGGAAAATCCTTTAAATGGAAGTAAGATAATAAATTGTATGATATAATATAGCGCTCTACAGTTCATTTGTCTTTAAACTTGTTACAGTTCTTAGAAATTGTATCTGTTTACTCGAGCTTACTTTTCTAACCACCATTTCTCTGAGTGCAGTGTTTTCCTGGTCTTTGTTGCTTTGCTGGCTGTTGCCTTTGTTGTCGCAGTTTTCGTTTTTATGCCTCGAGGTCATTCAAGTTCAACCCGCCACAGCCGCCTTCTGATTAATTGGCCATGAGGAAGTGAGTCTGCTTCGGCAAGTAAGCACAAAAACGTAGCAGGCTATGAAGTAGGGGAGTCAGAAAGTTGGCGCGGCTCTAAATGTCAAAGGTAGATGGGACTTTCATTCCCCCAACTCATTCATAACGACTGAGACCGGCCTCCGAGTCGGTCACAAAATTTTTCTACACTTTCTACCTTTGGTTTCCCATAACTAACAAAAAAAAAGTAAAAAATTTAACAAAAAAAAAAAATAAAACAAACCATTTTTGATTGCTGCTAACATGCCGGTCACCTACAAGACACGTACACTGCCCCAACAGCGAAATCTGGTGCCCAACCTCCTACGCTCCATTCTACACGTCCTGGAGGAGGCCCATCGACCCATGAGCGACACCGAGCTCATCTTCGTCCTGGGAGTCCAGTACCGCCGCAACGATCCAGAGTTCCAGCGCCAAGTGCAGATCAATCTACGCGATGGCGTCGAGTACGGGATCCTGAAGCGCCAGAGGAACCATTTCTCCCTCTGCTCACGACGACTGGGCGAACTGATGGCCACTCTGGGAACACCCTCGTCACACCACTAAATGGTATGGGAACCCAAAGAACACACTACACCATCGGATTGCTAACACCTGAAGAGAGAACCACAGAACCCGAAACGTTACACCGTTGAACACACTTAAATACACGTGATATGCTTCGGGATTAGTATGTATTATTGGGGTTGGATAATATCAAGCCATTTTGGGGAATGTTGAATGCTAATATTAAATCGGGTTCACCAAATAGCCCGATCAGCTTACTGTGTACCATTATAATGGATAATATATTTCTATTATCCCATCGTATTATTGGGGAAGGATAATATCAATCCATTTTGGCGCGATGTTGCGGTGGCCGGTACCTCCGTTCTTCGGCATGATAAGGGGTTTACTTGGCTTTGTTAGTTATTCCCCTTTAAAAAGATAAAAAGCCTTTTCCCCGGCTTTATTCGCTTCTTTTTTTGTAAACAAATAGGGATGTTGATAATACTATATATCAAAATATCGATATATCGATATTTCTATAAAAAAAATACGTCGAGATAGTTTTTCGCCGAAATCAATGTAAAATATGTTAATTTAAATGTTTTCTTTTTATTAAATTGCAATTTAAACACGTTTCATTATTAAATTTAAATACGTTTCATTATTAAATTGAAATACGTTTCATTATAAAAAAATTTAAATAGCAAATATTTAAATACGTTTCAATAATAATAATAATAATAATAATAAATTTAAATACGTTTCATTATTAAAATTCAATTTAAACAGAAAATACGTTTCATGATTAAAATGCAATTTAAATAGGATTCATTATTAAAATTCAATTTAAATATAAAATATTTAAATACGTTTCATTATTAAATTTAAATACGTTTCATTATTAAAATGCAATTTAAATACGTTTCATTATTAAAATGCAATTTAAATAGAAAATACGTTTCATGATTAAAATGCCATTTAAATACGTTTCATTATTAAAATGCAATTTAAATATAAAATATTTAAATACGTTTCATTATTAAATTTAAATACGTTTCATTATTAAAATGCAATTTAAATACGTTTTATTATCAAAATGCAATTTAAATAGAAAATATGTTTCATTATCAAAATGCAATTTAATAAAGTTTCATGATCAAAATGCAATTTAATAAAGTTTCATGATCAAAATGCAATTAAATAAAGTTTCATGATCAAAATGTATTTAAATAAGGTTTCATGATCAAAATGCAATTTAATAAAGTTTCATGATCAAAATGCAATTAAATAAAGTTTCATGATCAAAATGCAATTTAATAAAGTTTCATAATCAAAACGCAATTTAATAAAGTTTCATGATTAAAATGCAATTTAATAAAGTTTCATGATCAAAATTCAATTTAATAAAGTTTCATGATCAAAATGTATTTTAATAAAGTTTCATGATCAAAATGCAATTTAATAAAGTTTCATGATCAAAACGCATTTTAATAAAGTTTCATGATCAAAATGCAATTTAATAATGTTTTATGATCAAAAAATTTAATAAAGTTTCATGATTAAAATGCAATTTAATAAAGTTTCATGATTAAAATGCAATTTAATAAAGTTTCATAATCAAAACGCAATTTAATAAAGTTTCATGATTAAAATGCAATTTAATAAAGTTTCATGATCAAAACGCATTTTAATAAAGTTTCATGATCAAAATGCAATTTAATAATGTTTTATGATCAAAAAATTTAATAAAGTTTCATGATTAAAATGCAATTTAATAAAGTTTCATGATTAAAATGCAATTTAATAAAGTTTCATAATCAAAACGCAATTTAATAAAGTTTCATGATTAAAATGCAATTTAATAAAGTTTCATGATCAAAATTCAATTTAATAAAGTTTCATGATTAAAATGCAATTTAATAAAGTTTCATGATTAAAATGCAATTTAATAAAGTTTCATAATCAAAACGCAATTTAATAAAGTTTCATGATTAAAATGCAATTTAATAAAGTTTCATGATCAAAATTCAATTTAATAAAGTTTCATGATCAAAATGTATTTTAATAAAGTTTCATGATCAAAATGCAATTTAATAATGTTTTATGATCAAAAAATTTAATAAAGTTTCATGATTAAAATGCAATTTAATAAAGTTTCATGATCAAAATGCAATTTAATAAAGTTTCATAATCAAAACGCATTTTAATAAAGTTTCATGATTAAAATGCGATTTAATAAAGTTTCATGATTAAAATGCAATTTAATAAAGTTTCATGATCAAAATGCAATTAAATAAAGTTACATGATCAAAATGCAATAAAATAAAGTTTCATGATTAAAATGCAATTTAATAAAGTTTCATGATCAAAATGCAATTTAATAAAGTTTTATGATCAAAATGCATTTTAATAAAGTTTCATGATCAAAATGCAATTTAATAAAGTTTCATGATTAAAATGAAATTTAATAAAGTTTCATGATCAAAATGCATTTCAATAAAGTTTTATGATCAAAATGCTATTTAATAAAGTTTCATGATCAAAATGCAATTTAATAAAGTTTTATGATCAAAATGCAATTTAATAAAGTTTCATGATCAAAATGCAATTTAATAAAGTTTTATGATCAAAATGCATTTTAATAAAGTTTCATGATCAAAATGCAATTTAATAAAGTTTCATGATTAAAATGAAATTTAATAAAGTTTCATGATCAAAATGCATTTCAATAAAGTTTTATGATCAAAATGCGATTTTATAAAGTTTCATGATCAAAATGCAATTTAATAAAGTTTCATGATTAAAATGAAATTTAATAAAGTTTTATGATTAAAATGCAATTTAATAAAGTTTCATGATTAAAATGCAATTTAATAAAGTTTCATGATTAAAATGCAATTTAATAAAGTTTCATGATCAAAATGCAATTTAATAAAGTTTCATGCTGAATAATAATCAATCGGGGTCACCAAATAGTGGGATCAGGAAAGGTTATGCCTGCCTATGTTCAGCTTTATGTGTACCACTAGAAAAGATAATTATTTGTTATTTTTCTCTGTTGATAATACCCTTTGCAGAAAAACTGGAAGATACGTAGTTATGTTTTGGGTCACCTTATAGTTAAAACCATCTTGTGAACGTGCTTAAATATTTTCCAGAGGTTCTTTTTTGTTGTTAAATAGATTAGTAATGCTATTTATCTACCAAGCTTATATATATTCCGCTTTACGAATGCATTTAATTGCCTTAATGTTCAGGTGGCCCAATAATTCACATTCGACGGCCCTCAAGGGTTGGCAGCGATTTTGTCACGCCAGATTGGCCCTCTGGTGGCAAACGCGTTTTGTGGCAAATATTTGCGGTTATCTAAATGAAATGCATGGCATTGCACATTGCACAGCGACCACAGTGCGGTGGGCGTTGGATTGGTGAATATTTGCATTGCACCGCGAAATATGCAATTAAATCATAAATTAAGCGGTAAAAATCAAACATTATCCAGAGGGTGGTATGTACGTTTTGGGGGGCGGACAATAGAGGGATATGCTTAATTTTTGAGTTGATTTTGTTGCATTTTCCACAGCCTACTTTTTCCCCGGGGCTGCAGTCCTTTTGCTCGCCTATGCAAATGCCATTATGAACTATGAATTATGAATATTTATCGAAATGTGTATGCGAATGTGGTTTTTCAATTGTTTTACAATGGCCGATGGTAGCGAATCCTAATTTTATCCAATCGCAATGATATCAGAGCTTTCTAAAGGGTATTTTAATATGTTTGTGCTATGTGTAGACTTACAAATCTAGTAATATTTATTGAAATTAGACATGAAATTAAACACTAGTCAAGTTAAAATCCATTGAGAGTAAATGAGGCAACCCAGAATTGGTAATACATTGCTTTCACATTCATTATGTTTATCTGTAGCAACACTCTGAATACTTAAAGCCAAGTCTAATGACAATATCGATTCCCTTTCAATCACAAATTCATGAATCGTTGTCCCCAGTGTTGGGCGCCATTCGAATGGGAATAATTGATTATGCGGCCGACTTCTTGATGATTCTACGGCTGCCCGTTATTATTTTAGCCGCTCTAGTGTAATTGCGAACGGAAGCGGAAATGCTCGTCAGCCATAAATTTGCTCAGCACTAAAACCAACCAGCTTAAACAAAAAAAAAACGACAAAATGAAAGCGAAACCGCAGACAGAGACAGCTGGGGGCATCCTGAAATGGTAAATAAATTATGCATTAAAGGCCATTGCGTTGATGATTTATGCAGGAGTTCAGGAACCAGTGGTAACTAGGAAAAATATAAGAAAAACAGAGCCGCAGTTAATAAACAATGGTGACCATGGCGAACAGAAAAAAAAAGAAAAAACAACAGGCGGACCAACACTTCAAGCGGTTGCAAGTTGCAAGTTCAAGGGGCACAGGTAGGGACCATCGCAGGATGCACGGAGTTCAAGAGCTTCAGACTTGGACTCGGAACCTTTGACCTGGGACCCACTAGCCAGGAAAAGGAGCCAACACTCTCGGTACTTGTAAATTTCTTATGAGCAAAGAGTAGAAAAAAATAGAATATAAAAACATAAAAGGAAACAACTTCTTTTGAAGACTGACTTTTAAAGTACCTATAAATTAAATATCTTATAAAACAGTAATGCATTTTACAATCTATTTTGTGACATCCATAGTCCAAATTTTGGTGGTTAAAAAATGTGTATATACAGGAATATCATATTTTCTTAAGAACTCTTTTTACATATAATATCTCCCATATGATATAATAATATAGAAAAGAAAGATGTTAAAACAATATTAACTTACAAAGTTTTATGCACAGTTTTATATGTATAGGAGGTAAAAATTGTAAATACACAGGAATACAGATTTTTTTATAGAACTCTCTTTACACACCATATCTCCCATATGATACAACAATATAAGAAAGTTGACAAAGCAATATGAGTTTACTAAGTCGTGTGCACAGTTCCGTGTATACAGGGGTGTTTTTAAAGTTTCTTGGGAGAAGTTGGGATACCTTTTGTTAGGGCATAAAACGAAGCGACCACAAACATATGAGCAAAAGTTGCCAAGTTGTTGCAAGTTGGCTGAGTGCTTTTGTTGTTGCCCCTGGCAGGCACGCACAATTAAATCAAATTACCTCGAGT